AAAATATTGATAAAATCCTTCTCTCTACATAAGATATCTCTGCCCTTACTTTTTATATACTTTTATATTTTTTTTGTCCTATGTAAGTGCATATCCCATTGTTATCGATGAAAATAGAGATATTTACTAGGGGTGATATCTGCCTTAGTCTCTTGTTGAGACAAAATACGCCATACCCAAAGTTAGAAGAGGGAAGGTTTATTTTAACTCACATTTTGCAGAGGTTTCAGTTCATAGTAGACTGGTTCCAATGCAACTGCAAGCAGAAACACCGAAACGACACCCAGGATTTGGAGGCAGATTTATTTGTGTCAGTGGGCACTGATGGGAGTCATTCCCCACGTATCAGGCACCGATCTCTGGTGGTCTGGGGCTTACATGGATCAGAAAGGAGGAAGTACAGAGGCAGAATGGCTTGTCAGTTGGCGATTGGTTCTTACAATGTGCATCACTGTGACCAGCCATTTGTAGGAGCCAGAAGCAACTGGAACTGGAACTGGAACAGGAACTACTACCTGGGCAACTAAGAAACTGAAGTATACTGGTGTATGTGTGTGGGGGGATTTTCTCTTACACCAAGGCTGGGTGGTACGGTACAGAGGGATCACAGAGAGGAAACAGTCCATGGTGTGGCAAGCAGAAGGCAGTGTGCACCAAGCAGCAAGCCTGCCTTCTTTACCCCTCATGTCGCATCTAGGCTGTGAGCCTATTGATTGGTGCCACCCACACTCAGCTTGGGACTTCCCACTACCCGTACTCAGAGCAGTGCTGAACCAATTAGTAGACTAATCCAATTATCACACGCTTAATCCATATTCACACTCCCTTAATTCACCTTCGCATGCTCTACATTCAGCCACCTCTGAAAAGCCCCGCATATGAGGGCTCACAGCTTTGGGGAGAAGTCTAGGTACACGTCATAATGCACCCTAACTTCAGATATAACGAGATATTATATTGAATAATTTGAGCCTACAAAAAAAAAAAAAAAACCAGAGTTGTGTTAAAATCTGAGTTATTTTGGGGAGCTCCACCCCGCTTGAATTCAGGAAGTCTACATTCCTAGAACTTGATTTCTGCACTCCAAAGCCTGATGTCACCTCTGATCTGTTCTCTTCCTGTTTCAGCCCGCCCTCAGCTTTCTCCTGCCAGTTGAGCTTCTGCCTCTCACTCTTGCCTTCGTGAGCATGGCTCTTTTAGGTGCACTTCTCCTTCTGCACCACAATCTCCAGGCTAGAGGGCTTTTGTCTAGGAAATCCTTGCTCTGGTGCTGGGCATTGCCAGCATTTCTGTGTTGTCCTCCTGAGGGATGTTCCTTTCTTCTGAGTTACTTCTTTTGAGGTATGGACCAGGTCCTCCAGCTGTTGCAGAAAGGTGCAAGGCCTAAAGAACTTCTATCCAAGGTAGGTTTCAGAGTCCCTTGAGGTCAGGTTTCTTGCTGGATTCCTTGGTGTTCACCATGTGATAGGAACTAACTTACGTTATCCTCATTTTCCAGAAACTGCTAAAATTCTCTGGAGCCCTCTACGCTTTAGCATTCAGCAAAAATCCCCCATTTAAGAGTGGTTGCTGCCCTCAAGAAAAATGGTTCAGGTTTGCTTTACATGGTGTGATCAAACAGATTGTGCACAGCCCTCCCGCCCAGAACAAAGAGACTCTCTGCCCTAAAGGCAAATCCTAGAAGCAGAAATGACTTGTGTGTTTTAAGAAGAAAATTTTTTCCGCTCTCCGACAAAATGGTTGGTTTGGTCGTTTTCGGACAGTAGATTGTACAGAGAATTCTATGTCTTGCTAGTTGCAGTTATCCAGTAGTACAAAATCTTCATAAATGCTTAATCAGTTATTCTTCAATTCATGGCACTTGCAAGTTGAATATTAATAAGATAGGATAACAGTGTCCCTAAAATTTGGGAAATGGAGTAAGATTATGTGTCCTGTGAATTCATGAGTGCTGACCTTGAACCTCATATATTTCTGGATCCTTTGCATAAATTTCCACCTGATTTTATTGTTGACACAGTGCCTGTGCCAGTCACACAGCCGCCCCACCCCACATGGTCATCAAGGTGGAGAGTTTGCTGGCTTCTTCTGACCAAAGGAACGCTGTTCTTACCTTGTGGTGTCTTCCTCCAAAATTCTGGAGCCTGAAGATGAGCTGGGGAAGTGGTTTTGCTACAGTAAACAGAAACACCAAAACGTCACCCGGGATTTGGAGGCAGATTTACTTATGTTGATGGGCATTGACCTCAGGAAAAAAATGTCAGGCCTGGAGGGGTCAGGGAGGGAGGTTTCTATGGAGTTGTAAAGGGGAAGTACAGCGGTAGAGCCCTTGGCTGTCTTGGATTGGTTCTTACAGTGTGCATCACAGTGACCAGCCTTTTCTAAGAGACAGGAGTAAGAGGAACTGTAACGGAAACTGTTACCTGGGTAAATAACAGAAACTGAAGTATATTCTGCTACAGTTCTGTATTACGCTTTGCAGCCTAATTTCTACCCTAGGGCTAGAAATTCATCAGAAGTACACTCATCTCGCTTGCTGCAGATGTTGATCAAATTACCCGAATAACAGAATTGCTAGTTCACTTCTGTCATCCTTGTTCTTTCTCAGGGCATACCACTTGGAAGGGGCCCAAACTCTTTTCTAAGATTTATTGGGAAGGGCAGGTGTGTCTATCACTTCCAAGACCCCTTCTCACTAACAGAGCTGGGATACTGGGCCAAGCTCCCATTTGCATTTATACTAGCTGGTGTCAATTTGCTGACAGCTGACATTCTTCCCTGCTGGCATTCATAGGAGAAGTAAGTGCCTACGAGCTATCAAGTCTTAGGAAAGAAGGAGCCTTAGTGGGTGAGGGAGGAAAAATTGATTCTAGAATTATGGGGAAAATATTAGTAACCAGAAGGACAGAACACCTAAGAGCTAAACACCAGAGTTTTTCAATTACATGTTCAGGACGTTTGTTATCTCTCTTACCCCTAGTGCTTGTTATCACGTGAGGCCACTAAATCCATCTTTCTAATGCACAAAATTCAATATTGCCACATTTTATTTCTCTGAATCCATCATGACTCTCATAAGGTGTGTAGCCTTTTGAAACTTTCTAACAGAAATGAAGACTTGATTGGTAGATGAGAATTTAGAACTTCCTCCCTTTCTTCTTTCCCCGGTATCTTCTTTCAAAAAATGGTCAGCTCATGCCTAGTGTAGCAAGTTTTTGGGAGGATACCAAACTGCACCAGTGAAGCTATCTTTGTCCTCAAAGACTACGTAGCCTGGGAAAATTAAACATATGCAGAAAGAATGTTAAATGTCAAATACTGCAACTTCTATTAATGTCACAATTTATGTCACAAGATAGGTTAAGAATAAATAAATACCAAAAGAGAAATATAACTTAGATGCAGGGAAAGAGTATGAACTCAAGAAACGTTTTACAGAAGTTTCGGGACTATAAAAGGGCTGTAATGGAAATGTAGGCCTGGATTAAATGGAACTGAGACGAAGGGACACATTTTGGGGTGGGGACAGGGTATCTGCAAAAGTTTTCCCTGTTGGGAAAGATCCGCCTGTGCCTTCTTCAGAGCAAGACCTATGACTTTGAACATGGAATCTCCAGCAAAAGGAGAGGAGACTCCGTGGAACCTTAAAGCACTTGCTGTCTGCTGAATTAATGCTGAATACAAGTGTGTGATTCCAAACAAGGCCTCAGAAGCATCCACACTCAGCCCTGAAGCCTGATGCTGCACATTTGGATATGGGAGGTGCGGGCGGAAAGTATTGTATTTGTTTCACTTTGCTTGGGTGTTTTGTGTCCATAAAGGCCACTGTGGATAGATACCAGAAGCTACTGTCTAGGAAGTGGAGTCCTTTAGGGAAAGATGATGAAGAAGACAGGGAGCCTGGTTACTCGTAACTTAGCTACAGGCTGCTAAACAAGAAGTCGCCTGATGGTCCCTTGCTCTCCAATTCTCCTTTCAGGTAAAGTACATCTTGGCAGTCTGTATGCACATAAGCTTTTCAGTGAGTTAGAGCTTAACTTTCTCTTTCTAAGAGCTGCTCATGAACCTGGAATTATTCCTTGTATTAAAATCAAGGGAGCATAAACCAGGATAAAGTGCTTTGTGCAACTCTGGCCCAATACTACTACTAATGAGTCAGTGAGAAGAAATGGCCCCAAACCCGTATCTGTCCAAGTTCCCAACTTTACTTTTTCATTTTTTTTTTTTTTTTTTTTGGTACCAGGAGTCGAACTCATGACCTCATGCTTGCCAGGCAGGCACTGTGCCACTGAGCTATATCTCCGGCCCAAGTTCCTAACTTTAGAGTTAGGAAAAAGATTAAGGAATGACTTTTCAAAATGTTTTACTACACAGAAGAGTATGGATCTACAAAGGAAATAAAACAATGAAATTTTCTCCCCCTGAGACTTTTTTCTCCATGTGAGCTTAGTTCAATTTAGGTGGAAGGATTGTCTCCCATCCTTCCTGCGTGTACATAGTACTATGTAATCTGATTGGCTCAGCTGTCAATAGGTTTACACTTCTTCTCGAACAGCGGAGTTGCACATATGCCCCAAAGTTTGAGATCTTATTGCTAATTTGCTAGATTTATTGAGTTATTTTTTTATTACACTCTTCAGGAGCAAAAGTAGAAAAAAATCCAATTTCTGATGCAGCTTTAATCTAGTGAATACTGTTGGGAGCTAATAGAAATGCAGTCATAAATTCAAAGGTACAAAAAAAAAAAAACTCCTCGATGAGAGATGGGGCGGAAAAGAAGATTTCTTCATGTCACTTAGACTTATAAAGCTGGCATCCACATTTCCCAGTGATAAAGAACTCAATATATAGGCACACAAATGCACAGTTAGTAGCTGAGCTTGATCTTATGTGCTTTGATTATGAAGTGTCAGAGATCAGGGTGTCCAGGGCAGGTACCTAGTTTTGAGCAGACTTCTACCAGTGGCTATTAATAGTTCCCAGTCTACACTGTTCTCAGTGGTCCTGGCCGAGCAGGCTGTGAGTTGAAAAGATGAGTCATTCTGCTCAGAAGGTTCACAATGTAGATTTCTTGTTTTTGTACTTGTAGTGCCTAGAATTATGCCTGGGAAAAAGGAGGCCCATGGTACATATTTGTTAACTAAGAACGTCTTTGCTTGTCTAATAGACACTGCTGCAGTGGTTTGGCTTGCTGGGTGAATCACCAGAACAAGTAAGTGCATTTTGATGGTTAAGTTTCATGGATCAACTTTACTTGGTTAAGGGGCATTTACCCAGTTGGTGAGTTGTTACTTCTGTGTGTGCCTGGAGGGTGTTTCTGGAACAGATTAGCACTGGAATCAATAGTCTGGATGAGGAAAATCCCAAACCAACATGGGAAGACATCAATTAATCCTGCAGGCCTGGGTAAAACAGAAATGGGAAAGAAGGGCAAATTCTCTTTTTCCCTGACCCGAGTCATCTATCTCTTCCAGCCCTCCCATGTCCAGAGCTGCTGGTTCTTGGGCCTCTGAACTGCAGGACTTACATCTGCTGCTTTGGCCTGGGAAGGAGAGTTACAGCATCCACGTTCCATATTCTGTCTGGACTTGAGCTGAACTACAGCACTACACCTTTTCCAGTTCTCCAGCTTGAGAATGGCATATTGTGAGACTTCTTTCCCTCCATAATTACGCAAGTCAATTCTCATAATAAATCTCCACCAGTGTCTCTCTCTCCTGTTGTTCTGCTTCCCTGGAGAACCCGGACTAATGTAAGTACTATTAAACTTCCCATCTTCTCTAACTGAGCTGGATGAAGTAGAAAGGCTAGAGGATTCTTTCTTTGTTTTCTATATGAATCCCAATGAATTGTAGAATTTTCATAAATTTCATTCCTGAAGTATTTTTTCCCCAGTGAGCTTTTTGAGCCCTGACCCATAATCCACTCACTGAAGTCATGCCTAAAGCCATTTTATAAATTCCTAAATTGACAGAGTGGAGCTGAATCTCAAATGTTCATGCCAGAATATTCAGATGTAAGTGGGGCAGTGAGAAAATACGCTGCACTCGGGCAGTTCTCAGAATGGCCCGTGCTCTCCTCCCACATGACTTGGTATAAGCTCTTCCTGGAACCCTAAGCCCCACTGGCTCCTGATTACTCCACACTCAGCCCAGGATCACATCTTCTGGGAAATCTGAGTGCGTCTGCCCTGGCACAGGTGCTACCTCTTGCGCTGTGAAGTCCTGTGCGTTCACCAACACTCTTACTTGCCTCTCTGCCTCAGGTAGCTGACCTCAGTTACACACACAGTTATCGACTCCATAAAGGCAGATCACACACCTTACCTGTTTCTGCTGTCTCCTTTACTACCGCTAAGTGTGGCAGATATTGCAAATGCAATGCATGTTTTTAAATAAATGGATGAAGCTATTCCAATTATCTAACATGATTTGGCAACTTACAAAAAAACATAGCAAAAGGAGAAGAGGGATGTAAAGGCTATTTCTGGCATCTCTTGGATTGACCTGCTATGTGAAACTTAACTGAAGTCCCGATGCAGGGTGCTGGGCCTGAGCTCTCTGGAAGGGTGTTCTTCCCCTTTCCCCAGACTCTTCTTCTGAGATGAACGGAAGGGATCTGGCCACCATCCTGAGCACAGAGATGGCGGCGATCCTCTCCACATTACCGCATGCACAGAATGTGTGAGAACAGGGATTCTCAAGGTCAGACTCACAGGAAAAGGGACAGCGGCATCAACAGCACCCAGGCGTGCTTTAGCACCTTGAGTACATGGCTGCATTAGGTCTGTGCAACAGAGCTGACCACCCCTGAGGGAGCAGAAGGTGCAGCAAGCCTCTTCGGCTAGAATCCTGTACCAGCCTGAAAAAAATATAGCGCTGTTTCCACAAGCGCATCAATGCCTGCTGAAGCTCTCGTGTCAGCTGTGCCCAGTGCCCGTGATCAGCTGTGTGAGCGTGAGTGGGTGAGCATTGCTAAGATGTACACAGGTGTGACTGGAAAGCTCAGTGAGTGTGTAAACTTTTAAAAACTTATTACAGTAAAAGATGCATTGTTTTTAATCTCTCTCAAAATATCTCCTTCCTTTGAAAACACCATCCCATTGCTCTTGCCATTTTCTGAAGCAGTCTAGAAGTTGTCTTTCTTTCATGAGTGTCTTTAGTTGCCCTGTTGTGGCTGCTTCCATGCCCTTAAGCAACCTAAAATATTTATCTTTCATGGTCATCTTGACCATAGGAAGAGCCAGAAGTCTCCTATAGTCTTGTACTCGTAATAACATGTTTTAATTTAAACATGTTTTGATTTGATCACATTTTGTAGGACTTAGTTTCCTCTCTCTTGGGGCCCAGAGCTTACAATATGACTATACACAGAGAACAGTTCAAAGCCATAAACGCTGACATATTTACTGAAAGGTGAATAAAGTCATGTGTCATATAAATGTATGCTCAGTAAATCACCGAGCAGTCCAGACAAGAAAGGTCAGCAGTGACTAGAATTACCAGAAGCTGAGAAGTGAGCCCATTCCCTTCTCAGATCCCAAGGTTCTCACCCCACCCTGCCTTACCATCTCTCCTACGTGCTCCATAGAAATCTGGCTCTTAGCTGCTTTTCCTCCCCGTGCCTGACATATTTTGGAGAGATTTCAAGGCCTGTGTGGGTAAATTTCTCGAAGTTCTTTACTCTCAGTTTCTTAATTACTCAGTCTTAGTGATGCTCATAGCTACCTTTCAGAACCCCCTACCCAGATCTGTCTAGATCCTGATGTCACAGGACAAATTATTCATACTCAAAAATCTTAAATCCAGGCTCCACAGTCACAGATGGAGAGAGAAGACATCAACAAATTTCCAGATACCAAGTGGAGGAGGAACTGGCAAAGAGCAGTGATATAAGGGGAAAACCCAAAGGGTGTGATGGGAGGGACAAATGTTTTAGTTGGGTCAGTTTTCTCAGGTCTACTGAGAAGTTCAGACAATGACAGGGAGAAAGATAGCTGCTGAATTTGGCAGTACTGATATATTGATAACCTGTGAAGCATAAGTTAGAGCCTGCCCACAGCATCTGACTCTCTAGGACTCAGAGTAAAAGTCCCAGAAGGTGCGGGTGGAGGGGAAAGAACAGCAGAAAGCAAGCTAGTGTATACATCACAGTGGGACTGTGGGGCAGAGGACAACTCCTACTAGGGAGCAGATCCTGGGAGGTAGTATTCAAGTCTTTGACCAGTACTCTAATAATATCAGGGAGAAATTAAGTAGCCTAAGGGGCTCTGGAGAACCAAAACAAATATCAGCTGGTTGGGTGTCTTAGTTACTTTTCTTACTGAGACAAAATACTCAATGCCCAAAGTCGCAGAGAGAAAAGTTTACTTCAGCTCACAGTTTGCAGAGGTTTCAGTCCATAATCGGCTGGCTCCAAGGCAGGGTGGCACAGCAGAGGGGCATCGCAGAGGAGAAACATTTTGTGGCAGGCAGAAGGCAAGAAAAGGAGCAGCAGCAAGTGAGCTGCAAGTGATAAGCCTCTTTCTGTTCCTTATATTGTATCCAGGCTGCCCACCCTAAGCATGGGTAGCATTCAAACCCTTGATCCCAGCAACTGTAATACTAGCGTTGTACCATGAATCAACCCTGGTGGCACACCCTTGATCCCAGCAGCACAAACCCTAGATCTAGCCACCTATGAAAAGCCCCATCTACGACAGCATGAGGCTATGGGGTGACATCTAGACACATTCATAACAGTAGAACAATCACATAGCACCATATGCTGCTTATTGCTCATTAAATTAAAGGACTTGAAAGTTGGATTAGGAAAAAAATTTCAGAGGTAGAAAAGAATGTATATAAAGGAAGAGAAAAGACTTGATGAGGAATTTAATGGATAAAACTAGCTTCTGAAAGAATTTTGTCACAAGGCAGAGCAAATCAGTAGACTGTATGTAATCTTCTTAGCTGACCACAACCTACCTATGTTCAGACTTTCAGTGTTATGTAAAGAGATGAGAGAGATTTGCTAAAGCTTTCTAAGTAGAGCAGGGAACAACATACACTCTACTGAATTGCAATTAGATCCTCAAGTGTACTATTGCTTTGGACCAACTAAGAAATGCTCTGGCCTGAATGTACTCATAAGCAAATTGAGGAGTAATCTTCCCGATAAGTCAGAGGTAACCATTTGCAATCCCCTGTTTTCACTGCCCTGTCTAAACAACAGTAGTTATCAAACTGGCCAAACCCAGAACAAACAATGTTTCTGATGAAGCACACATAAATTGCTATGAGCTGTGGGCCCAGCAGAAGGAAGCTGGAAATAGCACTATCCAGAAAAGAGGTGCTGCTGAGACTCCATCTTTAGCTTCATGCATTATGCCTTTGTTTTAAAAGAGGCAGAAATCTAAGGAAGGAACTGGAGCAAATTGCTCTGGGCTGGTGACAAATCCTGTGGGCTGGTTCATGGCAAGGAGGAGCTGCTATCTCATTGTCAGCTCTCTCCTCTCTTTTCTGTCATGTTAGGACAATTCCGATATCTTTTAAAAAATGTATGCAATTCTTTACTCAAACACAAACTAGGAACCTACTATGTGCTACATATAGACAAATATATTTGGATGACGAGGTCTCTGCCTATGAGGAACTCACAGTGCAGCAAAAAGGACAGATATTTACATCAGAAAGCAGGTGGTGAAACATCTATAGGGAATATTCCATTTGGTTTGTGTTAGGCGGTGTAGATGACTGACTCTACCCCCAGGAGTGGGCTTTGGGTAAGCAAGTACTACACCATCCTTACCCACCATTCACCTCAACCACAAGGTAACAAGCAGTAGAATGGAGTTTAGGAAGGGACACCTCATTCCATAGTGGAGGATTATCAGCCTCAATGGCTGGTGGCTGAGGGAAACACCCAAGAGTGGACCTGTGTGCCAGTCCATCTTAATAGCCAACCTGGCTGGATTAAGAGACTCTTGGAGAAGGCTCTTTTAAATGGGCTGTTTTACATCTAATGCTGTGAATGTGCCATTTGCAACCCTGCAAGAATCTTTAGACCGAGGTAGCTACCTACCCTTGGTCATATGTAACCTACCGGAAGGCTATTAGCTTTATTTCACAAATAAGTAAACCGAGGCTCTGAGATGTCAAATACACTGTCAGATTCAGCGCGTCCCAGAATCACCCGGAAGGCTTAAGCACAGACTGCTGATCTCTACCTCCAGAGTTCCTGACTCTCAAAGTCTAGGATGCAGCTGTAGAAGTTTCAAGGGGATACTAACTGCTTCTGAGGGTGGCCTCCTTTGAGAACCACTGCTCTTCTCAGGTTATCTTTTGTTGGCCTCATGAATCAACTTAAGTGCGGTATTAATGAGATAAATAAATAAATAAACAAAGGAACATCAAAGTCAAACCACACAATTAAACAAATGCACTCAGTAGATGTCTACAAACTATTTCATCAAACAAAAATAGTGCTAGTAGAGAGAGAAAAGGGCTTAACAAAGGTTGTAGGTTAGTGTTGGTGAATCCACGGCATGTGTGCCTTGGCAGGCATGCAGAGGCTTCTCTGTCTGCATGCAAACCAACATGCCCCGGCATGCAAACATCAGATGATGACTGTTTTCTAAACTAAAACCTCAGTATTTAGGTTTAATTGCAGTGTTGGAACATTGGGATAAATAAGTGGGTTTTGGGTTGCGGTTTCAGCACTCAGTCTCTAAAAGTTTCACTATCACTGTAGTATTCTCAGCAAATATAGAAC